CTTAACGGTTGTAAGTACTAGAAAACTATCAAAATGACTTCACATCGACTCACACACTACAACTAGTACCCCCTACCCCCCCCCCCCAAGAAAAACCCGGCTCCAGCCCTTACTATATTCTGTTATAAAATTTATAATGAAGTGTATCAGGTAGATAAAGGGGGGCACCCATTTTCCACAATTGACACATGACTTTTTCTTCATTCTTTTAAACTCATATTGATATCTACAAATATCTTACGTCTTTGCTTACAAAGTATTTAACTCTACCACTAACAATGAGACATACCTCAGCTCGAGCACAGACATAAAATCTGCGGCCCAAATTGGGGCCTGCTTTTTTAACAATCCGTGGAACACAAGGTTCTCGATGGCCCTTACAAAGAGGTACACTATTCTGCATTAATTGTTGAATCCTTTGCCACTCCTGTAATGCCACTTTCCTCTTCTCTTTATCTGAATCGCATGCATCTACATGGCCTTCATTTTGAATATTGTCAATAGCATTTAATCTGCAGTCCTTTGAAGGACCACTTTCATCATCAGCAGAAGGAACTCCATTGAGGTCAGTCTGAGAGTAAGAAATGTCTGTCTGACAAATTTTAGAATCAGCAGAGCTACTGTCAGAAGTCTCGCTTCTAGTGCATTTCTGGAAGAATGAGTTGAGCGTGAGCTGAGACCCCTGACCATGCCTTGATTTCTTCTTGGCTACAATGCTCGGCAGAATATTAGCATTACTTCGAGAACCAAGCACCCTAATTTGCGAAGCTTTACTATCGTAGTTCTCTGGCGTTGAGGTAAACTTTTCATGACTTGGGAACAGAGGGCTTACCCTTTCCTCTGAAATAACTTGCTCAATTGATTGCCTTCTTGTGAACATAGACACTGCACTTTTGAGCAGAAAATTTCAGCAACAAACTATAATATGATAAACTGAACGCAATGTCGCACTATATTTACAAAAACCAAACTTAACACAGTAACTCAAAACATACATGATGAGTAAAAAGACACCTTGACTGATGGATAAACACAACTAGTTATACTTGACAAAACATGAATATGGAACACAGAAATGTAAACATTACAAACTCCTCATATCACTTTATTGGCAATCAAGCATGATCCTTTTGGTTGCAGTAACTGACTACTTACTGCTTAAAAGCCTTTCGGAAAATGTAAGAAAGATATAGGTTAGATTGATTTTTTCCTGAAGTATAATTTCCGCGACATTCCTCTACTTTTAGACATTATGATGACCTCCCTTCCTAGAGACAAACAGAATCGAGACTAACAGCTATGCTAGATTAATTTCTTTTCCACTTTATTTTGAGTTGATCTGAACTTAGACTCTTGGAGAAAAAGAAATAAGAGATTGATTTGACGCACTAGGTAACTAGCATGAATATGAACGCCCTAGATTGTTTGCTGCTCTAATACTACCTACTCCTATCAATAATAAACCCATACTTCTTATTTGCATATTACACATGCTGATTTCTTTCACATTCTGGAATAAATTTTGGCAAAAACAACAATAAACTTGATTTAAAGTAGTGCCTCCGAAATGTGTGAGCAGACATCTATATCAAAAAAGTTCGAGTAAAACAATTGCAACAGTGTCCAATAAAATTAATATTCAGATGCGACTTGACTAGAGACTCTCACCAAGAGTTTGCTGACTCCCGTAGACCTGGGGATGGTATCTGGTAGACAATGATGGGGTGCTATGCTCCAATACTTCAGGGATTTCCACTAAACTCGTGTAAACTGGAACATGATCAGAACCTTCTAATTTGATGCTCCTCCCTCCTTTCCACCTGTAGAATGTAGATTCTCAAGTGTGATTGCGAGATCCTCCATCACCATGTTATGGGTCGATGAGTGACAAAAATTGTTAACTCAAACGTTAATGAACAATTGAATATCCAATCAGAAGAGTTGGCCAATCATGTATGTGCTTAACTCCTCAGCTACTTTTGGAGATAATCTTTTGCACTATATATTTTTCACAGGAAACAAGAGCCACAGAATATAACTAATGTTAGATAGTTATGTAAATAACATGAATTAGTCCTAGTCCCACATAGAATAGGAGTAGGACATGCGTTGTATAAATAGGGCTCATTGTATTATAATTGAATAAAATATCAATAATATATTTTTCTCCTGTACTTTCTCGCATGGTATCAGAGCAATAGCGAGAGAATACTTGTTGTGCAATCTACCAGCGATTCCGAGAAAAAACAGTTTGCCGTGCAACTTTTTCGGTGGTTGTTTGCGTCAAAGTCACTATTTATCAGTGTTGTGCACAAACCAACACCACAATAAGGTCCGTCGTAGTCCTACGAACAAACCCCATCAAACCTCACCGGAAAAATCTGCCCCATGCGGCCTCACGCGCCGGACAGACAGAAATTTCTCCGACAAGATTTGTGCACGCGTCGGGCGCGTGAGCCCTCTTCCAACCAGATTCTGACAGAGGTCCTTCAGGACAGCTGACTCGCACAGTAATTCCGAGCCTAACCATCCAATTTAAACCAAGTTTCGACAACTTATTTTTTTCCCGCATGAACAATGCACTTTTTCCAGCGTGAACATTGATTCCGATGTAAACAGTGCTTTTTCTGTTGTGAACAGTGTTTTCTCAGATATTTCTTAAGTTTTTCACGATTTCAAGGGAAGAACTTGGTTTCCCGAGGTCGTCTTTCCCTTTCCAACTCCCCCTAACTAAGAATAAAAAGGAAGTCTCCAGCTTAACTTGTTCTGATTTGGCATTCTAAGGTTAACCATATAAGTTTTAGTCAAGAATTTGATAAATTGGTTGTAGCGAAATGAGATCCGATACTATGAATAGTTTGGTTTCTCTACCAGATTATATTGAGTTCCTTCAGTACAAAGCATATAAACAGACATCTTCAGAGATAGCTTCCATTGTTCAAACAGGTAATAGCATGACTTGTGTCTCCCCTTCATCCTCCGATTCTTGGATCATTGATTCATATGCATCTGATCACATTTCTGGTAACAGATCTCTTTTCACTACTATTTCATATTCTCAATCTCTTCCAACAGTCACAATGGCCAACGGATCTCAAACCATGGCAGCTGGAATAGGTCAAGCAAGTCCACTTCCTTCCTTAACTTTAGATTCAGTTCTTTATGTTCTCAGTAGTCCTTTTAATCTCATAGTCGTTAGTCGCTTAGCCAAATCACTTAAATGCTCTGTTTTATTTCCTTATGACCTTGTTTTTATACAGAAACGCAATACGGGGCAGATCATTGGTACCAAGCGTGAATCAAATGGACTTTGTTACCTTATTCTTTCTAAATCAGAATCTGGTTGGAAGAGGGCTCACGCGCCCGACGCGTGCACAAATCTTGTCGGAGAAATTTCTGTCTGTCCGGCGCGTGAGGCCGCATGGGGCAGATTTTTCCGGTGAGGTTTGATGGGGTTTGTTCGTAGGACTACGACGGACCTTATTGTGGTGTTGGTTTGTGCACAACACTGATAAATAGTGACTTTGACGCAAACAACCACCGAAAAAGTTGCACGGCAAACTGTTTTTTCTCGGAATCGCTGGTAGATTGCACAACAAGTATTTTCTCGCTATTGCTCTGATACCATGCGAGAAAGTACAGGAGAAAAATATATTATTGATATTTTATTCAATTATAATACAATGAGCCCTATTTATACAACGCATGTCCTACTCCTATTCTATGTGGGACTAGGACTAATTCATGTTATTTACATAACTATCTAACATTAGTTATATTCTGTGGCTCTTGTTTCCTGTGAAAAATATATAGTGCAAAAGATTATCTCCAAAAGTAGATGAGGAGTTAAGCACATACATGATTGGCCAACTCTTCTGATTGGATATTCAATTGTTCATTAACGTTTGAGTTAACAATTTTTGTCACTCATTGACCCATAACATGGTGATGGAGGATCTCGCAATCACACTTGAGAATCTACATTCTACAGGTGGAAAGGAGGGAGGAGCATCAAATTAGAAGGTTCTGATCATGTTCCAGTTTACACGAGTTTAGTGGAAATCCCTGAAGTATTGGAGCATAGCACCCCATCATTGTCTACCAGATACCATCCCCAGGTCTACGGGAGTCAGCAAACTCTTGGTGAGAGTCTCTAGTCAAGTCGCATCTGAATATTAATTTTATTGGACACTGTTGCGATTGTTTTACTCGAACTTTTTTGATATAGATGTCTGCTCACACATTTCGGAGGCACTACTTTAAATCAAGTTTATTGTTGTTTTTGCCAAAATTTATTCCAGAATGTGAAAGAAATCAGCATGTGTAATATGCAAATAAGAAGTATGGTTTATTATTGATTATCAGGACGCCGAGGGAAATGATTATCAAGCAGAGTCACCTTTCACTTTAGTCCATTCAGATTTTTGGGGTCCTAGTCGGGTGAGTTCTACCTTGGGATTCCGCTACTTTGTCAGTTTCATTGATGATTATTCCAGGTGCGCTTGGATATTTTTGATGAAAAATCGATCCGAATTGTTTTTTATTTTTCAGACCTTCTACGCTGAAATTCAAAATCAATTTGGGGTTTGTATCCGAATATTTCATAGTGATAATGCCCTACAGTGTTATCAAAGGCGTGCTTAAAGCGCACTTAAGCCTTGAAGCGAGGCTCAAAACATGGTGAGTTTTTCGCCTCGTTTAGGCACTTCATTGTTGTCATCAAGGCTCTAAGGCATTCTTTTCCTTGCCAATGAGCGTAATTCTGAAAAGGCGACACTAAACAGTTGATATTCCACTTTATCATAAATTTCTTCAATTTCCTTGTCTATATATTTGGTATTCATGCTTATAGATATTAGTCTTGGACTACACATACATATTTGTCGTTTTTCTCCATTTGCGTCTTTCTTTAAAGCCCACGCTTTATTTGCACTTTGCGCTTAAAGCCCCAACATACCTCATAGCTTTTTTGCACTTTTTGCCTTTGATAACACTGATGCCCTAGAGTATTTATCTTCCCCATTTCAGCAGTTTATGAACTCTCATTGGAATCATTCATCAAACATCTTGTCCGTACACATCTCAACAAAATGGGTAGCGGAAAGAAAGAATAAACATCTCATTGAAACTGCTTGTACCCTACTCATACAATCTCATCTTCTGCTGCGTTTTTGGGGGATGCAGTTCTCACATCTAAATATTTTATTAATCGTATGTCATCCTCAGCTATCCAGAATCAAGTTCCATTCTCTGTCTTCTTTCTCCACTCACCTTTGTTCTCTCTTCCACCCTTTACCTTTGGGAGCATGTGTTTTGTTCATAACCTTAATTCAGAAAAAGATAAGTTAGCTCCTCGTGCTCTTAAGTGCGTACTTCTGGGTTACTCGAGAACCCAAAAGAGATATCGATGCTATTCACCTGACCTCCAGCGGTAGCTTATGTCCGCTAATGTTACCTTCTTTAAAACCCAGTCATACTTTACACGTCCAAGTGACTATTTAGATATTTCTAAGGTGATATTTCTAAGGTGCTACCAGTTCCATATTTTGGAGATTCAATCATTATTTCCCATTCATCTTCCTCCACAACTCCAGCTCCACCACCTACAGCTCTAGTCCCAACTCCACCACCTACAGCTCCAGTTCCAACTCCACCACATACAGCTCAAGTTTCAGCTCCACCACCTAAAGCTCCACTACTCCTAACTTATCATCATCGTCCACGCTCAGCATCAGGTCGAGCTGATTCACGTCCTGCACCCTTCTCCTACTGCGGACTTGTCGCCTCTTAGTCAACCGGTTGCACTTCGAAAAGGTATACGGTCCACACTTAATCTTAATTCCCATTATGTTGGTTTAAGTTATCATCGTCTATCATCACCCTACTATGCGTTTGTAACATCTTTGTCCTCTGTTTCCATCCCTAAGTCTACAGGTGAAGCATTGTCTCATCCATGATGGTGACAAGCTTATGATTGACGAGATGTCTGCTTTACATACGAGTGGTACTTGGGAGCTTGTTCCTCTTCATTCACGTAAAACAACTGTTGGTTGTCGTTGGGTGTATGCAGTCAAAGTTGGTCCAGATGACCAGGTTGATCGACTTAAGGCTCATCTTGTTGCCAAAGGGTATACTTAGATATTTGGGCTCGATTATAGTGACACTTTCTCTCACGTGGCTAAAATAGCATCAATCCGCCTTTTTCTATCCATGGTTGTTGTTCGCCATTGGCCTCTCTATCAGTTAGACATTAAGAATGCTTTTCTTCACGGTGATCTTGAGGATGAGGTTTATATGGAGCAACCACCTGGTCTTGTTGCTAGGGGGAGTCTAGTGGCCATGCATATCAGTTACGCCGGTCCCTCTATGGTCTAAAGCAGTCTCCTCGAGCCTGGTCTGGTAAATTCAGCACAGTAATTCAAGTGTTGAGCATGACTCGTAGTAAAGTTGATCGCTCTGTATTTTATCGGCATTCTGCTTCAAATCTATGTATTTATCTGGTGGTTTATGTTGACGATATTGTTATTACAGGCAATGATCAGGATGGTATTAATAGGTTGAAAAACCATCTCTTTCAGCACTTTCAAACTAAGGATCTGGGCAGATTAAAGTATTTTCTAGGTATTGAGGTAGCTCAGTCTAGCTTAGGTATTGTGATCTCACAACGGAAGTATACCTTGGACATTTTTTAGGAGACGGGAATGACAGGTTGTATACCTGTTGATACTCCTATGGATCCGAATTCTAAACTTCTGCCAGGACAGCGGAAGCCTCTTAGTGATCCTGCAAGATATAGGCGGCTGGTTGGTAAACTAAATTACCTCACAGTCACCAGACCTGACATTTCCTTTCCTGTGAGTGTTGTGAGTCAGTTTATGGATTCTCCTTGTGATAGTCATTGGGATGCAGTTGTCTGCATTCTTCGGTATACAAAATCAGCTCCGGGTAAAGGATTATTGTTTGAGGATCGAGGCCATGAGCAGATCGTTGGGATACTCAGATGCTGATTGGGCAGGATCCCTTTCTGATAAACGTTCTATGTCTGGAATATTATGTTTTAGTAGGAGGTAATTTGGTATCTTGGAAGAGCAAAAAACAGAATGCGGTTGTTCGGTCTAGTGCAGAAGCAGAGTGTCGAGCAATGGCTATGGTAACATGTGAGCTAGTTTGGATCAAAGAGTTGCTCAAGGAGTTGAAATTTGTTAGATCAACAAGATGGAGCTTGTGTGTGATAATCAAGATGTCCTTCATATTGCATCAAATCTGATATTCCGTGAGAGAACTAAACACATTGAGATTGAATGTCACTTCTTTAGAGAAAGATACTCTCAGGAGATATTACTACAAAGTTTGGGAAGTCGAACGATCAGTTTGCAAATATTTTCACCAAGTCCCTCACCGGTCCTCGTATTATTTACATATGATTTGTATGCACTAGCTTAAGGGGGAGTGTAAGATAGTTACGTAAATAACGTGAATTAGTCCTACTCTCACATAGAGTAGGAGTAGGATATGCATTGTATAAATAGGGCTCATTGTATTATAATTGAATAGAATATCAATAACATATTTTTCTCCCGTGCTTTCTCACAACTAAAAATACAAGTTGGAATTTTTACTTGCTATATCCTTATAAATTTTTACTTCTGGGTTTTTTGTTGTTGTTGTATATCCTTATAACAGATTAATAGAAATTGTAACATGACAGATTTACGAAATAGTAACACAAATCTTTCCATCGCAGCAAAGCATACAGGTAATCAGATCAAACTAATGTCTACTGATATCGAGCAGCTAAGTTACATTATTATCTCTTTCAGAACTATCCTCACTTGTTTACGAGCGTTCATGCTTCGAAGGTCATTCATCCATAATGCGATCATGTAATTTTCCATACTACAAATAGCTAAAGTTTACCTTGGCGTATTTCCAGGTTTCCACCTTTGAAATTGCATCAATATGTCACACTCTGCAACATGGCAAGTACCAAAGTCGTGCCCTTCTTGATTTTCCTCACCATGCAAGCATGATCCTGCACTAAGTATATGGTCAATCCTAGAACCAAAATTAAATTCCTCGGCTCCTGTACTCTGCGACCAGCAAGTATAGGCTCCTTTTCTGTAGAAAAAATGCAAAATACAGATGAAGTAAGATGACAAAAGGTTCACATAACAAGATGACAAGAAATACAAATTAAGGAGATGAGGATGACTACTCTTATCTCATTTCTTATTTGACTTTGAAAAACAATGAAAGTTTCATCCGGTATGTGCTTTTGTGGAAAAACGAACGGAGAAGGACTAAAAAAATGACCTTTAGAAGCACTTCGCATGTCATGAGGAATTAACAATGAACATGATTTCCTCCGTTTTCCCCTTAGCTGTGTAGAGAGAATTAGAAGATTACAAAAGTAAAGATAAGTAGGAAGAGAGAAACCTATCAGGATGTTTTGCTCTAAAAACATCAAGGAGACGCCCTCCATTCTGCAATAATAACGATCTAAACCATTTCCTGAACCTGCAACGCAATGGAAATTAACCAGTTACCAAGTAGAATTGTTATCTTAATAAAACGAGCCCAAAGAATTAATCTATATCTTGCATATACAATATTTCATGAAGCAGCTTACTCGTTCTTCTCAAAATCAGGTTCTGCGTCACAGCGGTCTATGGCAGCAGGAGCAATATTGAGATCCCCTATGATGATAATCCTCCTTCCTTGATGCAGGAGACACTCCCATCTTCTCTACATAAAAATGAATAGTATGAAGCAAAGAGTGTGAAGTTCAGAAATGCATGTTTACACTGTAAGTAACAGGCTATTTCTGCAGTCAATGAAGAAATATGCTAATAGACATAATATCCTGGAAAAGATAGCAGAGATATATAAAGGGCAGTCCGGTGCACGAAGCATCTCGCGTTCACGCAGGGTCCGGGGAGGGGCTGCACCCTAAGGGGGTGTAATGTAGGCAGTCTACCGTGACGCAAGCATCACTGGCATATTTCAAGGATCGAACCCGTGACCTATAGGTCACATGGAGACAAAAATAATTAGCTAACAAAATAGATAGAGAATTGCAGGATACCAAAATAGCATTAAACAACTATAAATAATGGACGTAAAGTATGTAATACGATTAGTTAAAACATCAATCAAATTGATGCTTTCACTTCCTTGTGCCTTTTCTTTTTAAATAGGTAACTTTGATTTTTTCATTTCCTTATCTTTAATAAGAAAAGGAGAAACTTTAAGTAAATAAACACACCAAGGGACGACGCCAATCATAGTCACCTTTCTATCACCAAACAAGGCTCAATATGCTACAAAAATGATAAAATCTCTAGAAGAATGACCAACTCGTCCTTGCAGGATTAGCCATACCACAATCCTAGTGGCAATCTTCCTAATTTCTGCTATAATCACCTCCTTTTCCGTAATTTATTGGACCAGTACACAAAACTAAGGCACCATGTGGCAAGCAAAAATTGAAGCATGATACCAGCTCCTCAGATTCCTAACATCCTTCATCACATACTACAGCCATTACAACCCACAAAAACTTAATTCCAAGGGTTTAAGAACAACCTTCTCCCAGCTAAAGAATTGTAAATTCGCATCCACATATCAGAGTTGCTTTATAAAGCCGCAGTCAGGGCCTGGTCGAGACTTGGAGCCTTAGATAAATGACAACAATGAGGAAAGCAACATGGGATTCTCACAACATTTTCCAAATAGAAATCTGACATTTTCTAAACCTATCCACCACTACACACTGATAGAAATTTATGTTAACATTTAGATCAACTACTCCTTGATCCCAAATTAGTTGGGGGCGGCTATATGAATCCTCCATATCCATTCTGCTCTACTTAGATCCCAATTTCAATAATTTGTGCTAAGATTTGGTGCGATTAACATTTCAAAATGAACCTCTGTCGTGGACATATCATCAAGAAAAAAAAAAGCAAACTTAATGCTAAGATTACAGGAGTTATTGATATATTTGGTGCAAGATTTCCTCATCAATAGAGCAAAAGCTAATTTAGTAATTGAAAATAGGAAAAAAGAAAATGTCATTTCTCAGGTTCTCATAATTTGACAACCAAATTGGGAATTGATTACCTCTAACATCTTGAAAAACGTCAGCTTAAATTGGATTCTCTCAGAGTCATCCTGAACAGCTCTGGGCCCATATATATTGAATAGAACTGCAAGAAGAAACACTGGTCAATGACCAAGCTATGGTGGGAGTAAGAGACTCGAATGTGCAATAAAATATCAAAAAATAAAAAATAAAAACAAAATATATTGAAGAGTTATATCACATAGTGAGCCAGAAAAAGAAAAGGACAGGGCTTTCAACAAATGTTTAGACTATGTGTTCTTCCAATTAGAAATTATCCATCGCTATTGTTTCCGGGGATAGCATGTACTCACCAAAATGACCATGATCAGTAATCAGACAACGTCCCTCACTATCAGCTTTAAGAAGCTCATCTCTAGAAAAGCACTCAAGGCCTTCTGCTATTGAAGGACACTCATCCTTTCTAGATTCATATCCGTTAGATGTCCTGAGGAGACCAGTGAAGCCCTCTTCTGCAGCAATTGGCAGAGCTACCTCATTGCTCAAGAATGCAGATTTTACACGGCAAAATGTTGCAACACCTGGACAAGTAGACATAAATTCAATTATCTGTCTATTTGTCTCCGTAATGCATGCCTATATATGCATACATGAAAATAAAAGAAGAATTTACTAAGGCCATTCCACTCCTACAGAAACTTTTTGCATTAGTTAGCACTGCCCTACTTCAGATACCAAGTCGTAAAAGAAACGTTCAAACTTATACACAAAAACAAATTCCTAAACAAGCTCCACCAAGAATAGCTTAGCCTGCAAGACTTTATTATTAGCAATCCACAAGACTACTCTCTATGTTCATCAACTTCAAGATTATGAAGATAAAGAGAGATGTAGGGTGTTGTTGCTATGATGAAAATGTTTTCTTAGATGTTTATCACTTTACAGTGTTAGGTTACTTGCAATTGCTGGAAGAAATATAAAAAATGAGGAAACGATTTCTGTCCCTTGGAGGCAAAAAGTCATTCTTCCTTTACAAAATTTCTAACTTTTACTTTGTGTCACTTGCTTCAACCAAAAGTTAGACATTGTTGTCAACCTTTAATACTCATGAATATGACAAAAACACTATAGGCATACCCTATCCACCACCTTGTACTATTACTATACTCGGCCTATTTTTTTACAAGCCAAACACTCAAAAATGATCTAACCATGATATCCAAAGTCAAGGAATTTCGACGAATTGCTCGTTCCACACCATACACACCCTGCAATTGAGCTAGCCAAACTTTCCCAATCAATGAAGATCAATTCAGCTAATATTTCATTGGAAAAAGAACTCAGCTGCTGAGATTGACACAAAATGAGCTAATGGAAATTTACACTACATATCAATCAGCCAACTAATCCTCTATCTATTCGAGCATATTTCATTCCAACACTCAATAAATTCCCTCTATTCGGGCATATTTCATTCCAAAATACTAAATAAACAGTAAATTAGGAATTTTAAAACCTATCCAAAACTCACACTTATTCTTACACTGACACACAAATACCTAACCAAAAGTTATATACATTAACAAATTTTTACACCATCAGTGTAACTTACCCTTTGACATCAAGTTACTTAACATTTATTTAAAATTACCCATTGATGTTACTCCCTTTGTTTCAATTTATGTAAGCCTATTTCTTTTTAGTCTGTTTTCAAGAAAATGACCTCCTTTAAACTTTCCATTTTATCCTTAATGACAAGCTTATATAACTACATAGATATTATAATATACTCCCTCCATCCACTTTTACTTGTCCACTATACAAAAAAACGTCCACTTTTACTTGTCCAGCTTGAAAAACCAAGATATAACTTACCATTTTACTCTTATTATTAAGTTCTACTAATCGTTTCCAATTCAGTTCCCAACATATTATAACAAGGGTTCATACAGTAAAACGTGGATAAGTAAAGATGGACGGAGGTAGTATTTAAGACCACAAATTTCAAAATTGGAACTGAGGCAGCATTCCTTAAAGTTACTTGCAATTGCGTTTCAAATGACCTGATTTTTACACTGTGAGCCCATACAACTTAAACTCTTGCAAACATGTAACCTAACATAAATAAAAATGTAAAAAAGTAGAGCTAAAACATTAAAAATTACCGGAATAGCCAGCGGAGCGGCCACGATCAGAAGTACGAGTACAAGAGAAGAAAGACTCGTAACCCTCAGCACGAACCAAATCGGCTCGTAAATCATGTTTGGACAATTTAGTCTCCTGAAAACAGATGATATCAGCGTCGAGTGAATCTAGAAGTTTCGGAAGTGAACCGTATTGTTGTATGCGCGGCCTTAAGCCGTTCACATTGTACGTCACTATCTTCATTCCTTTCTTCATTCAGAAATTGCAGAACCGATAATCATCACTGTTTGATTTTTTTCCGTCGGCATTTGAGCCTCAAAAATTCACTGCTCCGACAATGAAAGCAAGTGCCGAGTAGTGCATTCCCAACAGTTTTAAGCCTCATTGCTGTTCTTCGTGGGGAACAAACGAGGTCGTTTTGATATGTATGCCAATTGCCACATTGGCATTGTTCCTTATTAGTCCCTTCACAAAAAAATGATATAGTTTTATATTTTATTAATCAGAATTTTTTATAGCCAAATAAATATAAATATAGTATTTATGTTGATTGTTACTTAAATTTTATTGTATTGTATATTAAATCCATCATTAAATATGCCACTTTATGTAATAATCGATATAGCGTGATCGCATCGATACCTTATATTTTTCTCTCATCTTATCCTTCTTTATTATTAAATAATTACTATATTTATCCCTTCCCGTATCTTTTGATATAATAACTCTTCCATGTGCCTTTTTTTTCTTTTTGAAATATTATAAGTTTATTCATATTGTTAGTGCGTGACATTATAAAACAACGATAAACGATACAATCTATCTAAATGTTATATTTATAAATACAATACAATATGATACATGAAACGATATGTAACAACCATCCAAACAAGCTACAATGGGCAGAGTACTAATTCATTATAGTTAGACTATTTCATATGTATCCCTTTATCTCTTCAAAATTTTATACATGCAAATGTTGAAGTTGTTTCTTCCAATTCTCCTTTCCTTGTGGTGTCCACGCTCACCTCGACTATTCCATTAGATGGTATTGAAAGAGAAGAGATTATCTGATATTTATTATTTACCTCTGCTGAAATTTGAACCTGAAACCTCATAAGTTCTCCTCCCTCGTGAATCACCAGGCCACGCCCTTGGTGCTAAAACCTAACCTTTCTCAACCAAGTTTCTGAACAAGTGCCATAAAACATACTTCCTCCGTTCCAATTTATATGAATCTGTTTGATTGGACACAGTGTTTAAGAAAAAATGAAAACTTTTGGAATTTGTATTCCTAAACAAGTCAAAAAGGGGTCCAAAGTATTTGTGTGCTTATAAAAGCTTCTCATTAAGGGTAGAATAGTTTAAGCTAAATTGTTTCCAAATTTAGAAAAGGGTCATTCTTTTGGAACGGACCAAAAAGGAAATAGGTTCACATAAACTGAAACGGAGGGAGTACTAAACAAACCTTTTGATACAGCCAATTTACATTGATGGCATATTTATAATGACATAATATTAGAATTTCAAAGGAGGAAGAACCTGGAGACTCACAACAGAGAAAGAATATACACTAGAACTACCAGATTACAGACATTTCAAACTGGTTGTTTAGGGAAAAAAGCAATTTCATGCCAAAATTCTTTTGTGAAGGACAAAAGGAAACTCAACAGCAAACACACTTGGCATGACGACCGCTAGCTACACAGTGCCACGATGCTACGTATCTCTAAATACCATCATCTTGGGAGCCTTCCATTCAGAGACATGCAGCGCGCGCAAGCACAAGAAAACATGTCTACGAGCATTGTCGTCTTCCCACAAAATTTTCTGATGACGTCCACCCTCTCCGTTTATACATCTTTACAAAGCTACATTTCTCCGTGAATCTCTCACAGTTGGTGAACTCATACTAGCAGTTCTTAAAAGCCTACGGAATTCTGACAGGCTTATCTTCCCGTCTTTGTCAATGTCCGCTTCCTCTAAAAGTGGATCTATCGAGCCTTTCAAACCCGTGTGCTGCAAAACAATAGTATCGCATAAGTAAGAGCCAAATAAGAAATGTCGTTATGTTAATTGATTTGTAGGGTTGGTCAACAACATGGTTAATATCGTAATTACTGACAATCAAGATGCTATGAACACTTGCTCTTGGGAAGAAATCTGTAAATAACACTGTTTTCACTTGAGCAGAAAACATCAGATACTAACCATTTTAAGTTCTTCAGGAGTTATGAATCCATCTCTATCAACATCAAATTTCTCAAAAGCAGCCTGTGATCTTTGCTGCCATTTTGTAGAATTATGCTCCTCCAACTGATGGACATGTAGAGTGGCGGCCACAAACTCCGGGAAATCAACAAGCCCATCAGTGTTACTATCAATCTGCAAACCAATGAATAAAATACTTTAGGTCTTTGAACTGCACAAGAGACCATATAGTAGAAAGTGATGAAATTGTGTATGATGAAAACTACTGAGATTTGACAACAATATTAGCATTGACAGTTGAGTAATTTTCACTGCAGGAACTATTTGAAATATATAATCCATCATAAAGCAACTCCCAAGTATTTGGTGACTTATCTCTTTTTACTTTTTTCTTATTTATAGCGACCTCGACTATTCCATTTAGTACCTGCTACCTCCCACCAGCGCAGGTAGCACGTAACTCCGCCCACCAAAGCTTAGGGAGATTGGAACTTGGAAGAAATCACCTAGCATGTTATTATCTCTGTTGGATTTGAACCCTAGTTCCCCGTGGTTTTCATCCCACTTCATTGACCGCAAGGTCACACCGTTGGTGTATTTAGTCACCTATTTCTTTTCAAGAATTTGCACCTATTCTTTGCTATTATCTTCTTATGTTCTTTTTCTCTTTCTTTTTTTTTGGGGAGGGGGTGGGGGAGTTGGTTTGAAGGTGGAGTCTTTTTCTCTTTCATTTTTCTTTTTTTTTTTTTTTACGGGGGGGGGGGGGGGTTGGGGGTTTGGTTTGAGGGGGGGAGGGTTAATGGGGTAAGGAGGGGGGGGGGGGGGGGGGGGGGGGGGGTGGGGGTTGTAGGCCTGCAAATGCTTCTTGTTTTCTTCTTTTCCCCCTTAGGTGAGAATGTGAATAATAAAGCAGTTCCAAACATGCAACAGCTTAAGTCGACAAAAGGTTCCTTCTATTTTTTAAGCAATTATTTATCAGATATCATGTTTTGCTCCTGATACTTCATTCTTAGATAAATAAGTTTACCGCTTGAAGAATCTCAAGAACTCGTGACTCTTTCATTTTCCATGGGAGATCCTTGGCAAGGGCCTGCATTAGAAATGAATATAATAAGCCACTAAAACCGATGACGAGATATATGTGCATATACATTGTTTTGCATCAAGATGACACAAAATATAGGTGCCTCAGATGTTTGGCGATAGCCATTGAGAGTTGAATGGACAAAAACAAGCTCCAACATGAAAGATGAGCAATACCTGTCTCATTTCTTCAAGACTGATGACACCATTCTTATCCACATCAATTGCAGAAAATTGATCCTTCAGATCAGAGAGCTCCTCCTCATCAAGTGTGCTAGCTAACGCCTGCCCGATGGTGAAACAGCATCCAGAAATTTAGGTGTCGTATGTCTGAAGTAACCTTATCAAACAGAAAGGTCTAGTAGAGGAGAAAGCAATGAACTTACCCGTAAAGCAAACTGTTTTAGGCGACTATATCTGACAAATTGCCGCATGTTGGATAAAACAGAAATGTCGAGTGGAATCTCAGATGCATCACCTCCTTCTCGGACCCATGGATGCGCTGAAAATGTTCAACCAGATAGTTTCAAAACAATTGTTCATCGTATCAAAAAATTTAAAGGAACGACATTAGTAACATCTTTTTGCAAGTTGATTGGAACACTATGCCACAAGTTGATATGGAACACTATGCCACAAGTGTGTGTGTATATATATATATATATATATATATATATATATATATATATATATATATATATATATATATATATAAAACTTAATAGTACTAATTCGGGATCACATATTACTTACATAAGGCCTGAGCAGCAGTAAGTCTAGCGCGCGGATCCTTCACCAGTAATTTCTTTACAAAATCTTTAGCACTGTTGCTTATGTTTGGCCATGGCTTGCGACGAAAATCAGGCTTGTTTCGTAAGACCTTAGCATATCGGAAACAAAGTTAGAGAAAAAAACAGGCAAAGCGCAGAGCATTTACAAAATGTAAAAATTGTTAAACATCTTAAAGGAAGGAAAACGCTCTAGATATCGGACTCTCAAAGGAAGCATACGTCAAAAGCGAAAAATTAACAAAATAAATAGCAGCAGCTTCTCTACAAAGGAAAAAGCATTGATGGTCGAAGACTTAGGATGTTTATGAGATGATATCAAAAAGGTGAACAGTAACCCGGAAATTCCAAATTAATGGGAGATTTATTGAGGAAGTGGAAACTTCAAACTACCACTTAAAGTTAAAAACAAACCTGAAACATCCTATTGCAAGGAAAAAAAGTAAGCATGTAACTTTTATACAGCATGTTAATTCCCTATTAGAGCCTTAAAATTGTGATTTCCTTTCCCTAGGTTTCCCAATTTAAAACACAAGTTGAAATGTTACGAAATTACACATAAAATATTCTCACCTCCTTGAATATACCATCCTCAGTTTTGTCCCAGAAAGGCCGACGACCACATAGCAAAATGTATGTAATTACACCTATACTCCATACATCTGATTCAGGTCCTGATCTACGCTTTAACACCTCCGGGGCTACATAATATGCACTGCCAACAATGTCTTGGAATTTTTTCCCTGCATTTATAATTTTCCTCTGATTAGTCTTTAACTTTAAGACAGAAAACCATAACAATAGCCCCTAGATCGTTGACAAATCAATACTTCAGAAAGATGTTTTTATATAAAAATTTACAACTCATTAGATTTCTAGAGAATCCAATTACCTGGTCTTATGAAGTCTGAAAGACCAAAATCTGTGGCTTTTAATGGCGAATCCATCTTTGAGGATTTAAAGAGAAAATTCTACAAAAAAAGAAAGAAATTTGTTTAAGAAAACAATATCAAGCAGCATTACCAAGCACAAAAGTAGTATTGAGCTGTTTGCACACCTCAGGTTTCATATCTCGATGCACCAGACCATGTAAATGACACTCAGCAGCCACTTTTAACATCTGGCGTACAACTATCGCCGCATCTTTCTCAGTATATCGACTATCTTTTCTGGTTTAGAAATTATGTTTAACCCGTATAAGTAAACTTCATAATCAGAAAGTTGAATAATCAACTGAAACTGGTAATTTCAGAATACTTACTTGGACAAGATTCGGTCCAATAGTTCTCCACCCTCACATAACCTAAAGAAAAACAAAAAAATTGAAAAACGTTAACTTGTGATTCAAGT